GTATAAACCAGTATAAACCAGTATGGACCAGTATGGACCAGTATGGACCAGTATGGACCAGTATAAACCAGTATGGACCAGTATGGACCAGTCCAAACCAGTATAAACCAGTATAAACCAGTATAAAAATCCATTAATTTCCCCCATTTTCCCCAAAAAATTCCAAAAAAAATCCAAAAAAATTCCAAAAAAATCCCAAAAAAATCCCAAAAAAATCCCTGAGGCCCCTCCCAGTCTAAACCAGTCCAAACCAGTATAAACCAGTATAAACCAGTATAAACCAGTAGAAACCAGTAGAAACCAGTATAAAAATCCATCCATTTTCTCCATTTTTCCCACATTTTTCCCCCTCAAAATTCAAAAAAAAATCCAAAAAAATCCAAAAAAAATCCCAAAAAAATCCCAAAAAATTCCCTGGGGCCCCTCCCAGTCCAAACCAGTATAAACCAGTATAAACCAGTATAAACCAGTATGATAATCCATCAATTTCCCCCATTTTTACCCCAAAAATCCCAAAAAAATCCCAAAAAAATCCAAAAAAATCCCAAAAGAATGCCAAAAAATTCCCTGAGGCCCCTCCCAGTCCAAACCAGTATAAACCAGTATGGACCATTATAAACCAGTATAAACCAGTATAAACCAGTATGGACCATTATAAACCAGTATAAACCAGTATAAACCAGTATGATAATCCATCAATTTCCCCCATTTTTCCCCCAAAAAACCCCCAAAAAATTCCAAAAAAATCCCAAAAAAATCCCCAAAAATTCCCTGGGGCCCCTCCGAGTATAAACCAGTATAAACCAGTATAAACCAGTATAACCCAGTATAAAAATCCATTCATTTTCTCCATTTTTCCCCATTTTTCCCCCCCAAAATTCCAAAAAAAATCCCAAAAAAATCCCAAAAAATTCCCTGAGGCCCCTCCCAGTCCAAACCAGTATAAACCAGTATAAACCAGTATAAACCAGTATGATAATCCATCAATTTTCCCCATTTTTACCCCAAAAATCCCAAAAAAATCCCAAAAAAATCCAAAAAAATCCCAAAAGAATGCCAAAAAATTCCCTGAGGCCCCTCCCAGTCCAAACCAGTATAAACCAGTATGGACCATTATAAACCAGTATAAACCAGTATAAACCAGTATGATAATCCATCCATTTCCGTCATTTTTCCCACAAAAAACCCCAAAAAAATTCCAAAAAAATCCCAAAAAATCCAAAAAAAATCCCCAAAAAATCCCCGTGGGCCCTCCCAGTATAAACCAGTATAAACCAGTATAAACCAGTATAAACCAGTATGATAATCCATCAATTTCCCCCATTTTTCCCACAAAAAAACCCCAAAAAATTCCAAAAAAATCCCAAAAAATTCCAAAAAAATCCCAAAAAAATCCCTGGGGCCCCTCCCAGTCTAAACCAGTATAAACCAGTATAAACCATTATCAAAATCCATCCATTTTCTCCATTTTTTCCCCATTTTTCCCCCCCAAAATCCAAAAAAATTCCCAAAAAAATTCCAAAAAATTCCCAAAAAATCCCAAAAAAATCCCTGGGGCCCCTCCCAGTCCAAACCAGTATAAACCAGTATAAACCAGTATAAACCAGTAAAAACCAGTATAAACCAGTATAAACAAGTATAACCAGTATGATAATCCATCAATTTCCCCCATTTTTCCCCCAAAAAAACCCCAAAAAATTCCAAAAAAATCCCAAAAAAAATCCCAAAAAATTCCCTGAGGCTCCACCCAGTCCAAACCAGTATAAACCAGTATAAACCAGTATAAAAATCCATTAATTTCCCCCATTTTTACCCCAAAAATTCCAAAAAAATCCAAAAAAAATCCCAAAAAATCCCCAAAAAATCCCCAAAAAATCCCTGGGGCCCCTCCCAGTCCAAACCAGTATAAACCAGTATAAACCAGTATAAACCAGTATAAACCAGTATAAACCAGTCTAAACCAGTATAAACCAGTATAAAAATCCATCAATTTCCCCCATTTTTCCCCCAAAAATTCCAAAAAAATTCCAAAAAAATCCCAAAAAATTCCCTGGGGTCCCTCCCAGTCCAAACCAGTCCAAACCAGTATAAACCAGTATGGACCATTATAAACCAGTATAAACCAGTATAAACCAGTATGATAATCCATCCATTTCCGTCATTTTTCCCACAAAAAAACCCCAAAAAATTCCAAAAAAATCCCAAAAAAATTCCAAAAAAATTCCAAAAAAATCCCAAAAAATTCCCTGAGGCCCCTCCCAGTCCAAACCAGTATAAACCAGTAAAAACCAGTAGAAAGCAGTACCAGACAGAGTCGGTGTTGAGGCGCTCCAGCGGCCGCATGCTCTCGTCCAGGTAGATGTCGGTGGTCAGCGAGGTGTCGGTGTCGTGGGCCGAGTTGTAATTGGTCACCGTGCGGGTGGGCAGCCCCAGGCAGCGCAGGACTGACCAG